GGCTGAAACTCCCCCAGACCCACGACAAACTCGTCTAGACTTGTCCCCTTAACAAACAGTGGGTCCTCACCAGGCTGTGTAGTTTGCTTCATCTCTAATGAGATGCTGCTCTTTAATATTGTTTATTTACTGTCTTAGTTGTGTGTGGTGTTTAATTTACATTTTGTTGTTCTTTGTTTTTTTTTTATCCAAGTGCATTTTTTGTTAGAGACTGAGAATCCACTTTACCTGTATTCTTTTAAAAATTAAAGTTTATTGATTTATTACACTTACATATTACGCTTTTATGATTATTAGTTGTAAAACGGTCACCAGGCAATATTATCGTTTATCGCAACAATTTTTGAGACAATTAATCGCCCAGCAAAATTTGTTATCGTGACAGGCCTAATATCGACAAACATTATATCATCGTCAAACAAATCAGTAATATTGTATTATGATAAAGCTGGTGATTTACTCCCCTAATGTGCTGTACAACGACTGTTTAACACCTCCAGGTCCTCCGAGCTATGTGCCAGCTACTGCCTTCCTGCAGAATGCAGGTCAGGCCCACCTGATCAGCCAATGTGAAAGTCTGGAGGCGGAGCTGAGCTCATTGCTGCAGCAGCGCTGGGCGGCCCTTCGCAGTTGCCTGGAGCAGCTGCACAGCTACGCCACAGTGGCTTTGATGTACCCCCGAGCTACCCTGCTTTTCCACAGAGTCCACCAGTGGAAGGCCTGGTTGGAGGAACTGCTGAGGGATATGACTGTGGAGCACTGCCAGCACATCTATAGACAGTAAGGCCTTTACTTCTGTTCCTTCATGTTGAATGAATGTAGCAAATGGTCTGCATTAATGAATATTGAATCAAATCCTTTTTGTGGACTGTCGATGAAGGGGAACATCTATTTATTGTCAAATTAAAAGTATAAAGGCGATGTTGGCTGAGAGTTGTTTGTCCAAATACGTGGACTTGATGGACAATTTCAGGAACACCATCCAGGGAGGGACAGCTAGAGGGAAAAAAATTTCTTCCCAATGCTCTCAAACCACATCAGGTTCAATTCTTCTAAAACTTATAGATTCACAAATTGGTTCTTTGTGGACATGGTCTGTGTGCAAATGTAATATGACAAAGTGATGGCTAAAATGATTTGTTTGTTTTACTCTGCTTTTAGACTGTTGACCTCCAGTTGTTTCCATCAATTTTTACAACATGAGAAAACCTCGGTGTCTCAACGTTGTTAGTCTTCCTGAGTTTTTCATCTTTTTTAATAGGTATGAAGTGCTGTTTGCCCCTCAGCCCCCTGCAGCTGCCTGCCAGTTTCTGTCCAACGTGGAGCTGACTCTGCAGCATCAAGTGGCTGAAACCAACGAGCGTATGCTGCACCAGGCGGAGCGGCTGAAGGCGGAGGGCACCACTGTAGCAGCATGTGAGGAGCAGCTGCAGGAGATTGAAAACTGTATCACAGTCTTTCTACGAGAGAATGGAGAGCCAGGATCTCTGAGCCTCGCTGCCATCATCACCTCTGCCCTCTGTTCCCTCTGCAGGTGGGGTTTTTATCACCCGCCACTAAAGCAAATGTACAATATGTTTGTCTGTGGCTGTATTTTAATGAAACTCTTAAGCCTGAAATATACTCGCTGCGAACTGCCGACGTCAGCACGGGCTGTCGCAGTTTAATGACGAAAATTACGTCACCGGGCTTCTTAGTGTCGTGTCGACAGCCCCTTTTTGGCACAACCCCCCGGCAGAACTTTTTGACCCCCCTCCCGTGTCGACGATAATGTGTAATTGGTCTGATTGGTCGTGGGGGGTGAGACTCGCTCCCAGACTAGAAAGCAGAGTTTTATAAGAAAGTCAAACTGTGAAAAACTAATTGGCTTGTTTGTGCTGAATGCGCTGCTGCACTCGGTAAAAAGAGGGGAAAAAAACCCGACTCGCTCCCAGAGCCGACACCAGGAAGTAGAGTTTTATAAAGAAAGTCATTCCGTGAAAAACTCATGAATGGAGATAAAACAGATGTTGTGCACGGAGGAATCTGACTGATAAAAACTGTGGACTTTAACCAGGACAGATGTGGATAAATACGTCGGGTGAGTGACGAATCTGACTTTTTTTCTGCATTATCGGCTGTTGTGGGGGAACTCCATGAGGGTTTCCCGAACTCGGCGCAGGGGTGTCGTAGGGACTATGAAAGGTCTGTGTGAAAACGACTGCCGAACAACCACGTGACCGCGCATTGACCCGTCGGCGTCGGAGCGAGTATGTTTCAGGCAGAAATTAATCATTGGATCGACATCTACAACTGATTACGTTTGAAGTAAGCCTGATCCAAGATGGCCACAGCACAGTAAATGCATAAAAATGTCAAAATTAGACAGTTTTACAAATAATGTGCTAAAGGTTGGCGTATTAGAAGCTGAGATTCATTCCCAACTAGTTGCACCAGATTTGGTTAAAACCTGGTCATTGAATACTGGAGAAAATAATCTGTTTCTTAGCTAAATTAAATAATAATAAAAATAATAGATTATATTTGTAACGCACTTTATATCTGAAAGCAGATCTCAGAGTGCAAACAGTAAAAGAAGATAAAACAATAATGAAAAAAATAAGAATAAGAATAAAATGGAAAAATAAAAGAGAATAAAAGAGGTGTAAACTAGAAGATTGTCTGAATAAAAATGTCTTCAGCTGCTTCTTAGAGTCAACAGACTGAGGTGCCCTGAGAAAGTCAGGCAGGGCATTCCAGAGGCGAGGGGCAGTAGCCCCAAAAGCCCTATCACCCACAGTGCGAAGCTTAGTCTTAAGGGGATTAAGCCGATGGCTGTCAGTGCTGCAGAGTTGTCTTGTGGTGGTGTGGGGTGTCAAGAGCTCTGTAAGGTATGGAGGGGCAGTTCCATGAAGACATTGGAAGGTGAGGAGACATATTTTGAAATGAATACATTGATGAATAGGAAGCCAGTGAAGGGACCGGAGGATGGGGGTGATGCTGTCGTCTTTCCTCACCCTCATCAGGGCCCTGGCAGTGCTGTTCTGGATGTATTGGAGTTTTTTTAGTTTCCTGCCAGGGATCCCAATGAGCAGCACATAACAATAGTCCAGTCTAGAAGAGACGAATGCATGGACCAGCCTCTCAGCATCTGTAAGGGAGAGGAAAGGGCTGAGTTTTTGCAGAGGTGATGGATATGATTATCAAAGGTGAGATGGGGATCAATTTTTACCTCAAGGTTAGTCACAGAGGGGGAGAGAGTGATATTGAGACCAAGGAAAGAAATAACAGAAATTGTTTGGGATTGGATCTGATGAGGGGTGCCAATAAAAATGGCTTCTGTTTTAGAGCTGTTAAGCTGGAGAAAATTCTCGGTCATCTATGCCTTTATGTCCTCAAGGCAGAGCGCAAGAGCAGGAGGCACAGAAGCTGGGGAGGTGGGGTCAGTCCTAAGGTACAACTGAGTATCATCAGTGTAGCAGTGAAAAGATAGTCCATGCCTAGTGGTAATCTGACCAAGGGGAAGCATGTAAATATTGAAGAGCATTGGACCTAGGACTGACCCCTGGGGTACGCCACAGGTAATGGGATGGACCTGGGATTTTGATCATTTGTGACTCTGACCAGGGCTGTCTCAGTACTATGGGCTGCTCGGAAACCAGACTGAAACTTGTCGAACAGATTTTGGGTGTGCATGTGGGTTAAAATTTGGGCAGCTACAGCCTTCTAAGGGCAGGTTAGAAATAGGCCTGTAATTTGATAATGCTTCAGGATCCAGAGTAGGTTTTTTTGAGGATAGGACTAATGAAGGCCGTTTTTAGTGTAGGTGGAACTTGCCCTGTCTGAAAGGAGCAATTTATGATTTGAGTGACGAGGGGGCTTATGGCAGCAGCATTAGGTATGAGGAGAGAGGTAGGAATGGGATCCAACGCCCAAGTGGATGGTTTAATCTTGCTAAAGATGCGTTCCACCTCACTCGGTGTGACTTCTACAAAGTCTGTTAGGCAATGTGCAGCTTCAGGACTGGCAGCAAGCAGAGATGTAGGGGTAGGCGCTCCAAATGAGGAACGGATGTTTTCCACTTTGGTAGTGAAATATTTAAAAAATTTGTTACATTGATCTTCAGTGTTATTAAACAGTGTGAGACCCCGAGACTGAAGAAGTCTGTTTATGACAGAAAACAGCTGCTTAGAATTGCCAGGATTATTGTTTATTATATATTATTTATTATAAATTAAGCACTTTTTAAACACAATTTATTTATTATAAATTAAACACAGTTTAATGAATGAATGAAAGTAAATGTTAGTCAGTTTTACAAATATTGAGCTAAAATTTGGTTTGGTGTGCATTTCCTCAAGGAATGCTTGGCCTTTATTGAAAACTTGTATTCGTAACTTTTAAATATTTCAGAAACCAAATACCTTAACAAATATCTTAAATTGATTTTGAAATGAAATGTGGATCCTTTTATAATGTGCAAAAAGAAAAATGGGAAAGGCATTAAAAAGGTTCTGTTTTGTTTCTCCTTCCTCCACAGGCGTAATCTGGTGATGGAGGGGGCCGCAGCCAGTGCTGGAGAGCAGCTTGTAGACTTGACCTCTCGGGACGGGGCTTGGTTTTTGGAGGAGCTCTGCAGTATGCTTGGAAATGTCAGCGCTTTGGTCACGCTGTTTCAACGCTGCCCTCTTCTTTCTCATGACTTGGAGTTGCCTTCACCGTCAGTGACCATCCAGGCTATTTACCTGGCCAGTGGTGTTTACACCTGTTTACAGGTAGATGCAGCAAAAACACTTAAAGCAGCTGGTTATTCAGTTATTCTGGCCTTTTTAGATGGTGTAACATTAGACCTTAGTCAAGGTTTGAGAAGAAGAAACAAATTCCAGGGTTTTTTTTTTTTAATTTCTTTACTAACAGCCAATAAGTATTTCAAAAGCAGGTACTAAAAACAGCACCCTTTCTGGAGAGTTTCTAAGGTAGTAGCAGGGGTGGACTGGGGCAAAAAGGTTGCCTGGGAATTTAGTACCTGACTGGCCCATTCAAGGTCCAGGCTGGCAGATGATGTCTGCAAATGTTAGAGGCCGATGATGGAGGCAGAAACAACAAACGTCATCTCAGGGCACTGTACTAAATCTAAGGACGTAATGTTGAGGAATTAGTAAAGTTATTAAGATTGCAGAGCAGCAGTTAGCTCACAGGCACTGACCCTCAGACTTCCATTTGGTCATTTTTGACTCATTTTGATTTTACCCCCCAAAAATAACATTATTATAATCTAATGTGGTATAGTTTTCTTTTTCCAGCACATAAACTGTGTGAATTTAAACTTTTTTTTTCATTTGAATATACTGTTATTGTATATTAGACCTTAAATAATTTATTTAGTTAATTAATTAATTAATTAATTAATTTAAAATAAAATAAAAATCCAAGTGGGCAAAGTTATTTGTGAAACCCACAAACATTTGATTTTTATCTTTTAGAATGCCAGTGTATGATGCAAATTTCTAAAACTGATGTTAATACATTTTAAGCAACAAAGTTTTATTAAATTATCAGCTACTGAGCACAGTCTGGACCTAGTCCACATATAATGGCTTTATTTATTTAACAGCTGAATGCATTGTTTTAAAAGTTAGAAAACTAGAAAAAAATACAGCCACCTACATGACTACTATCCTCCTCCTGGTCACGTTGTCCTCCAGACGAAGGTTCCAGTGAGGATGAGGGTGATGATGCACCAGCAGAAAATAAATGTCAGTTTCTGACACTTGGCTGAATTTGCTTGTAGATGCTTTTTTCTTTTCTCTCAATTTTTGTTTTCCTCCCTTACATTTTTTCTCCATTTTTGCACTTTTTATTTTTATTCGTTTTCTTCTTCTTACTTCCTCTTCTTCAACAAAACTTTCTTCTTCTTTGGTCTTTGTTGGTGGTTTGTAAACAATGAATTGGTGCATTATCGCCATCTACTGGTATTGAGCCCAACTACACAACTTTTTTTTTTCTCTCGCTGCCTGCGCCAGCCCAGTGATGCACCGGCCCACCGGGAAAAGTCCCGGTACTCCTAATTGCCAGTCCGCCCCTGGGTAGCAGGACATTAAATCAAGATAAAAATATGGAAAGAAAAGATTGTGATGTATTGTCTTGCGAGGCCATGTATCAAAGTTTGAGGAATTGCAAAACTTATTAGTAAAATACATACTAAAAATAAACTGCACCCATTTCTACCAAACCCATCTGGCACAACTTCATACTGAGCAGGTGGGAGGGCATCTCAATGCACACACACTGATCTACAGTAGTTTGTGTGTGTCACACTTTGGCACATTTAACCTCAGAAAATGTGTATTGTGTGTTTGTCTTAATGTACGTATCCCCAGAGTCAGCTGATTCCTTTGCTGGTGGAGGTGTGTGTTGTCCTGCACTCCTGCCAACTGACTCACTGTTCAGTGGAAAACTGTGCTCTGCAACAAATAAATAAGCATAAATAATAATAATATTGGAAGCTGTCCTTAGTTCTTTTTGTCACATTTAGAGTTCTGAATCTAGTTAAAAATCCTATACATGAAAAAACTTAGTGGAAATTAGAAAGTGGTTCTAACTTATTAGCAGTTATGTTTACATTACTTCCTTACAAAATAAATTTAAAAAAAATCTGAGTATATAAAGAATTTGGTATAAATCAAAGAATATATCCAGTAAATGTTAGTTTTGTAGGACAAATGTGTCATTTTTTGTGTTTCATCAGGAAGCGCATCATACTGGATGGAATTCAGGTTGTGGTCCTAACCAGGTGTAAACGTTTTGGAAGAAACCAACATATTTTTCTTAGATGTAAAAGTTTTCCATAAGGCTATGCATAACAATCGAGATACATATCGATATTTAAAAAAAATATATTGACTTTCTTTCTTTTAATATTGATACCTGGAAGCGCCTTCGTCCTCAAAAGCAGATTTTTTAACAAATTTTGGTTTTTATAATTACAAATATAGAATTTTGTAATATTTTGCTGATTTTGTTGAGTCAGTGGCATTGAGCAATAAATAAAAGAATATGTATGGTGAGCTTTGTATCAAAAATTGTATTGAATTGCCATGTCCTAGGTGATACCCAGCCCTTAGCACCCAACAAAGTTTGTGTTTATGACATTTGATACTGACGATATGATCTTTTAGTTTAAAAACCTAAGTTTCATTAGAGTCCTATGCTCAGCTGGAAGCAGTGTTTCTTTTCTTCAGTGAGCCTGGCTCCATAAAAAGAATGAGCACACTCCTCAGGATGAGAGATGTGAATACATGTATTCTCTGTATACATTTGAGACATCTGTACTGTAACCATTAAGTAGGTATACATGCATCTTTACACAAAAAAGACTCTGACACATTCTGTTTACTTTAGGAGCTGAACACCAACTTCAGGCAGATCATCTTCCCCGAGGCACTGCGCTGTATGATTAAAGGAGAGCCCACTCTGAAGTCGATGCTGGCCGAGCTGGAGCAGCTGGTGGAACACAGCTCTGATGGGCATGGCCTGCAAGGGTTGGCTGATAATCTGCAGGCCACCACAGACTTGGATCATGATGGACACAACCACTACCTTCACATCACCAGGTTCATGTTCTCTCTTTATGAATTTTATTCTTCACCTTTTGGATGTTAATGCAAAGAGTGTCAGGATTAATGTTTATACCTATGTCTGTCTATAGGCACTTTCTTAAAACATCTCAGCAGGGATTAAAGTTCTCTGCTGCCACGACAGATTTCTGTCATTTTAAACTTGGCCAGGACAAATTTGTTTTATCTGTAAAAATAATTTTAAAAAGGAACGTTTTTTGTTGTGGTCTTGTTAAAACCATCCGATCTAACAGTGATACAGGAATAAATTTACTTTCAACAAATAAAGTGAACCAGGACCATAGTTTCACCCAATCAGAGTAGAGTAGAGCAAGTGGTGACTTCTGTTGTACTGTGATCCCAGATGCAGCATCGAGGGAGTTTATATAATTTAAAACTCTGGCATGAAAGTTAGCATTTTTGTGAAGGAATGTCTATCACCCACTAAGTTTTTACTTACTGTTTCTTGTGCACAGCATGTTGCGTGCCCAGTACTCAGAGCTGATCCAGCCTCACAGTCTAGATGAAGAAGGCCAGGACACACCGAAGATGTCAGCCGGTCAAATGTTGCTGGTCGCCTTTGATGGGATGTTCACACAATTAGAGACTGCCTTTGGACAACTCACAGAAAAGGTATTAGGTAGTTTTTTCTTCATGTTGATGATGTAACAATGAGAAGTAAATGACATATGAATACTTTGTCAGGTCTTTAAAAAAATAAACATTTTGCTCATTATTTTACAAGTTAAAACCACTTTCAATTCAATTTAGTGTATTTACAGTATGTAGCACCAAGTTACAACAACTGTTGTCTCAGGGCACTGAAGGAAATTTTGGAACTGATTAATTGAATGTTAGATGCAGTTTTGTATTTTATACTTTCTGATCATTTCAGCCTTTAAGGTTAAAGCAGACATAGAGTTGGTGTGTGTTTTATCATGTGTTCTTTCTTTAGTCTAAACAAAAATGAGTTGCGTTCTGACGTCTTGACTTAAAAGGTAACACCTCCTGGAGTGTAACCAGGAAGAGATGCACATTATAAGCTCGATTCATTATTGTAGTAGAAAGAAGTTGTCAATGTGCTGCAGAGTCTCTGCTTCAGAGCAGGGCAGCTGTGATTTGGTTCAACCCAAGGTCTTACTGAGGCCTGTGTGCTGAGTGCTGTATGAACCTGATGAGAGTCAGAAGATTGAAAATAAAGTTTTAACAAGAAATCCAGCTGATTCCTGTTTCTTCGGACATACCATTTTGAACAATGCATATTTTTCCTACAGCACTGTACAAAAAACGATTTAAGGAGGCCAGCAGATTGCGTTGAATCACTTCATTGCAGTCTCCCATCCTGAGCAGAACATTAGAAACAGTGGAAAGAAAAAACTTCCTTAACAGGAAGAAACCTCCATCAGAGCCAGGCTCAGGACGGGCTGGGTTTTGATAACAGAAAAGAGACAAGGAATGTGTCCTGTCTGAAGACCTCTCTAATCACGGCAGATGAGGTGATGACAAGCTGACTATATATACTGTCCATCACTGTCATTCCTCAGTTTAAAAGAAGCTCCTCGCCAAGCCCAGCTGTGCAACCATGTGTTGTATGAATAACATTACGTTCCCTTTCAGTCGATTCACTCGGTACAACATCATGTATGGGACATATATAAACGCCCCGCAGAGCAGCACAAAACTTGGGTCATAATAACATGCTAGTGCAGCACATCAGACCCAGCGGAGAGCACAGAGTGAGCCACCGAGGGGGCTGTCACATCTAAGCGATAAAACTGAACAAATGTGTGCGGTGAAGACCAGCTGGCCGCAGCACAGATGTCACTCACAGGTACCCCTTYAAAWAGGGCCCAGGATGCTGCTACACCCCTGGTGGAGTGAGCTCTCACACCAGATGGGACTGGGAGGCCCCTGCTGCTGTAAGCTAAVGAGATAGCCTCCACAATCCAGTGGGAGAGTCTCTGTCTGGACAGAGCTCTGCCCCTGAGTGGGTTAGCAACACATGACCTCACAAATAATGCAACCTCCTTTGCTCCTCAAACTGAAAATGGGGAGGATAAAAACTAGAGCGCATAGTGACCCCATCAAGAACTCAGGAATGGTGGTGATTACAGACAGTATATATGTATATACTATAAGGTTACCGGTTCGATCCCCCATTCCAGCCGTCTCAGTTGTTGTGTCCTTGGGCAAGACACTTCACCTGCCTTACCTACTGATGGTGGTCAGAGGGTCCGGTGGCGCCGGTGCATGGCAGCCCCGCCTGTCAGTGTACCTCAAGGCAACTGTGGCTACAATGTAGCTTACCACTATCATCAGTGTGTGAATGTGTTTATGAATGGGTGAGTGAGTGTAAGTGTAAAGCGCTTTGGGGTCTGGAGGGACTTGATAAAGCGCTCTATAAGTTCAGTCCATTTACCATATATAGTGCAGGCGGGGCCTGTCACTTGTCACCTAAAGGCGTGATTAGAGGTTTCTTCAGCCTGGACATGCAGGGCGTGGTATCCCATACTTCATGTGTTGTACCGGGTGAATCGACTGAAAGGGAGCCTAAAAGTTTTAGATCACACAAACCCTCATCATCACTTCAAGTTTTCTTGATGGTTGTATGGCTTTGTCTATAGATTTATGTTACTGTAAAGTCAGCCATGTTTCAGTCCAGCTCTCTCTGCTCTTCATCTCCAGCTGAGCTCTTTGGAGGTGCCATTGCCCTGGAGGAAAGTAGATGTTCTGAGGGAGGCTCGGGCCACACAACTCAATTTCTTTGACAGCCCAAATCAGCGTCAGTTGATGGAGGAGGTGTTTTTCCTAAAGAGACTACAAACTGTCAGGGATTTCTTCAGGGTTTGTTCTTCCTTTGCTCAGACACTAACTGGTAAGTACTCCTCACAAACATAGAGCCTGGTAGTAGAGCATTATGTTTTAGTGACTAGCTCCTGTAGAGTACAGATAGACTCCAACTTGCAGGCACAGCCCTGTATAAGCTTTTAGTGTTTAGAACTTGTGAATTTTATTGTTAGACTCTAAGTAACCATTCGGTATACATCTACAAATGTTTAAACTTTTTTCAACCCAATTCAAGATGGCTCATACAGCTAATCCATTATACAGCACAAGAATGTCTATAACTCATCAGTTTTACAGATTTAAACTAGGATTTAATGTGATAGTAGCTGAGAATCAGTCACAACACTAAAGTCATCAAACATAAGTCTTTTTAAAGGGATCCATGATTAGTTGTAACATTAGACTTTATTTAACAAACATATATTTTAACTGTAAAATAAAGACTGTAAAAATTAAAGAAGGCTTAAAAATATATTACACAAATGGGGCCATTTTATTTACACGCAAAGCATTCTGGGTAAATGACGTGGATAGGTCCTCGGTGTGAGCGAGCTATATCCACCCTGAAGGTTAATCTTGGACAATAGCTGACGATCGACTCTTTTAAATGAAACCAGAGAGGAGAAGGTAGAAATGACTCAGCCTGTAACTGAAAATATGGATGGAGGACAACAGAGCTGCTTCATGGAAGAAGAACCTCAGCTTAGCYTGTTAGCTTTAGCRTTAGCCCCGATGCTATCACCATATATATATATATATGTATTAGCTCAGCGCTACACATTCTCCTCTCATCACTGAGGTCCTCCATCCACATGACAGAGAGGGGAACACAAAAATGACTCAGTCTGCAACTGAAAATATGGATGGAGGACCTCAGTTTAGCTTGTTGTTGCGCTAGCACCGAGCTAAAACATATAAGGCAATATAGCATTGGCACTAGCACGAAGGCTAACAGGCTAAGCTGAGGTTCTTCTTCCATGAAGCAGCTCTGTTGTCCTCCATCCATATTTTCAGTTACAGACTGAGTCATTTCTACCTTCTCCTCTCTGTCAACGCTCTCTGGTTTAATTTAAAAGAGTCAATCATCAGATATTGTGCAAGATTAACCTTCAGGGTGGATATAGCTCGCTAGCAGCCTCACACCGAGGACCTATCCACGTCGTCATTTACCCAGAATGCTTTGTGTGTAAATAAAATGGCTCTGTCTGTGTTAAAATATATTTTAAAAAATTTACAAAACTAAACAGCCTACAGTATTTTTACAGTCTTTATTTTACAGTTAAAATAAATGTTTATCAAATAAAGTCTAATGTTACAACTAATCATGTATCCCTTTAAATAGACACCCCAAAGGAAAAAAAAGTTTTTGTCATTTTTCTGACAAATATATGCCAATTTTCTTCAGGGACTTGCCCTCCAGCTGAGGATCTGCTACCATTAAATGGACCTGTTGGTTTAGGGAAGCCACTGTTTCGTCGACCCAGTACTACTGGATCAGGTGTGGCAGTGATCACTGAGGAGCAGATGACCCGTCCCATCAAGGCTTTCACAGCCGAGTTTGTTCGCCTGATGCTGATGGGTCTGCCGAGCCAAGCCATCGGTCTGGCCCTCTGCAGCAGTCTTTCTGCCCTTGGTCTGGATGTCGTGGCTCAGGTGGAGGCAAAAGACTTTGGTGCTGAGATCAAGGTACATTGTTTGTGTTCTCACTGTTTCCTGTAGTTTTTTAACTACCGGTAACTGTAGAAGTGGTGGTGTGTTGTCAGTGTTCTGATCACAGTCTTTCTGTCAGGTCTCTCTGGATGAGCTATGTAAGAAGGCGGTAGAGCAAAGCCTCGCTTCGGGCCGGGTCTCTCAGCTGTTGATGAACAGAGCTACGGTGCTGGCCTCCTCCTATGACACAGCCTGGAAAAAACTTGACCTGCTGAGGAGGTTGGACATAAACCTGGAAGCTGCCAAGGCCAGTCTGCAGAGGAGCCAACTGCATATCTCTGTGTTTCAGGTATTTGCTGGTTCTAATGTTCTGGATGGACTTGGTAGATGTCTGATTATATGTAAATATTATATGTAAATTGGAGTATACCTCATAATTAGTATAGTTGAAACCAGACATTTACACACAATTTAAAAAGACACATACACATCTACATGTAAATAGTAGAAAATAAAAGCTGACATTCAGAACATTGAACAACAAAAACAAGAGAATTTGACTTGCTGTTCCAATACTTTTGGAGGAGACTGCATCAATCAATCAAAACTTTATTTATATAGCACTTTACACACCCCAAGGCAACCAAAGTGCTGCACAGCAAAATAAAAATACAGTAACATAAAATTATGTAAGTGATAGCACACAAAAATGAAAACAAAAGAAATGAGACTTCATGAGCTTTCTGGAGTTAAAAACCAAACCCAAATGATAAGCATCAGTTGTTACTGCCAGTGTATCTGTTGTTGGGAGTGTATTGAGTGTATTATGTGTCTAGAGAGGCACAAAACTGATGTTTGTTGGCTTTTGGTCTTTGTTTTGGTTCCTGAAGTGGTCTCATTGTGTTTACTGTCTGTGTGTCCTCCCTCCAGTGGCAACATGAGGATGTTCTGGGCCCCAGTAATCAACCTTTGGGTGTCAGTATTCCTCCTCGCTCTGTGATCCTCAGCAACATGAAGAAGAAGCTGTACAAGCTGAGTCAGGATGAAGGAGCCATTGTTGCCATTCAGGTCAGTAATGTGATATAAATCAGGGGTTCTCAAGCTTTTTGGGTCTGGGGACCCCTTACAAGGGTGAAAAAAATTCCAGGGACCCCCTTATAAACCCCATGCTGTTTTAAAAGATTATTTATTGTCATTTCACCCCCTAAATGCTATGGGAATATATATTTTTATTAATATTATTATGTTTGTTTTATTAGTTCATTGTTCTCCATGCATTTTTAAAAATAAAAACTAAATTAACAATTTAGTGAAATATTTTTAGAACCCCCGAGATACCTCTCGCAGACCCCTGGGGGTCCTGGGACCCTAGTTTGAGAAACTCTGATGTAAATCATCCTATGTAGTGACTGTTAGCAAGGGATGGAAATCAACATTTCCTGCACTAACATACAATATGATGTACATAAAGTCAGTTTTAGTAAAATACATTATTCTGAAATAATCAATAAATTGCCAGACATCTTTAACATGATGACAAAATATCATCATCTTGTAGCTATAACTGTTTTCACTGTCAGCTGCTGGTTTTCAGCCGTTACAGTCGACTCTTTCTTCATCATCAACAGAGACTAAGCTTAACTGAGATTTTATGCTCAACAATCTACATTTACAGTGGTTTTTCTCTCCCTAATCATTCAATATATTGATCTGATCTATACTGTTTTCTTTGTTGTGTTTGTAGGAGAAGCTGGCATCTCTGGAGTCCAGCATCGAGCAGCGCCTCAAGTGGGCCGGTGGTGCCAACCCAGCACTGGCACCTGTCCTGCAGGACTTTGAGATGACCATCAGAGACAAGCGTGCCACGGTGGCTAGAGACAACCAGCGCACCAGCCAGGTAACCCAGCATCCTTGTTCATGCTCAACTCATTCATGTCTGTCAGAGCCAAGAGAACAGACCTGTTCAATTTATCCACAACACTGTTTACAGTGTTGACAAAAATTACTTATCTACTTTGTATTTAACTGTTTATCAATCCAAACGTTCATCTAATTGAGGAAATTGATGTGTGTTTTTGTAACTTTTGTTCTTTTTCAAAGTATTTAACTTTACTTAAAATCAGTTTTCACCTAGAAGTACATAGACATGTCTTCAGTTCATTCAAAAACATTTTGTTTGACGTCTGCAAAGTGTTGCTTTCTTTTGCTAAATTCAGCTATCATTTTGTTATATTTAGCTAAAGCTTTTGCTACTTTAAAGTGTATCTTACCCCCCTGTGAAAAGATAACTCCGCCCCAAGGCGAAATTTGAAAAATGCATCAAAGTGGGTAGGGGAGGGGGTGTGGGTAGAGGAAGGGGGGTTAGAGAGCGGAGGTGTGGCCAGGACGAGAGAACGTGACAGCCTCGGCTGAGCTGTCCGCCTCACAGGACAGAGGAGTGAAGCGCTCCATGACAGCCTGACAGAAAAAAATAAAAGCATACAGCTGCAGCTGCTCACAAGATCACTAGTTTAAATCATGAATAAAAGTGTTGGGTCTTBTTTGACTGAAGTTTGGTCCGTTAGGGCTGCAGCTGCCCCGCTGTGTTTCTGCCTTTTTTTTCCCTCCTTCCCTCCCGCTGTGCAGGAGTACTGCTGGTGTGTGTGTGTGTGTGTGTGTGTGTGTGTGTGTGTGTGTGTGTGTGTGGGGAGAGAGAGAGAGAGAGAGAGAGAGAGAGAGGCGCAGCAGTCAGCTCTCCCCACCCGAGGCTGAAGGTCAACAGACGATCATGC